ATTTCTCATCTTCTTGCCTCAAAAATTTCATGCTTCTTTGATCTTTCTAAAAAGAGTTTTCATGGAGATCTGGTGCCTGAATTTAATAAACAGCAAATGAACTTCACATCTTGCTCTGTTTTTGTTTCTCACCTGGGGAAATTTGTAGTTGCACAGAATGGTTGCCATGTTGAGGCAGGTCTGAGAACGCGGTCCTCCAATGACAGCTATTGTATTGGTCTGGTCATTACACTTGTAGTTGGGGATAAATTTGTCTTTTGTAGATAGAAATTCCAGAGCTAAAAGATAAGTTGAACTTTCCTCCAGATAGTCGGTAGCGATGTCGAAACCAAGGCTAACATTGGATAAAATCTCAGAATGTTCATTGATCTCCTGTGCAGCAAATGCCAGAGCCAATGTGTGTTGGTAATTATGTGTGAGAAACCTTCAGTGAGAGTTATAAACTATGTCAATATCTGTATGCTTTAGAATCAGACAGTTGCTATTTTTATTTTATATGTATACATGCACACACTTGGCTCTGGACACCTGTAATTTGGTCTTTAGCAAACAATAGCCCTACATTGTATGGACTGGGAAGCACTGAAGTGGTGCTGAGGGTAGGAAACACTGAGCTAAGATAGCATTTGATTTCAGTTCTATATGTATTTTGTGTGTCTTTTTCTAAGGGTGGGAAGCCAGTTCCATTTTCCCACCCGAGACTTGTAACAGAATGAAATAGTTTCTCAAAGGCCCTTGAAGGTTTTCTGCTTCATTTGTCAGTAAGATGAAAGGGAGAAAAGTTCTGGATTAACCAGAAGGCATCCGCAAAGCCTAGATTAGTCAAACTTTTTCTTTGCAATAGAGGACTTTGTTGAAGGAAGGAAGTTTCCTGAGGAAAAAGTAATTCATATAGTTCATGGTTCAAATCAATAGTATTTGTCTCAATTTAAACTCCAGTGTTAGGGGAAGCTAGGTTTCTGTGAGCTCCAGAGTTAAAAATGGCTAAATATGGCCATTGGAACTAGTCATATCGACCAACTAGCAACCAGTACATCTGAGCAGAAAACTGACAGAAAGAAAACACAGCATTTAGGTGGGAATTGGGAGCGGGGGAGGAGGAGGAAGAGGAGGAGGCTTACAGGTACTGATCAAGCACTTCATGAGAAGGAACACTTTGAAAAGTGATCTTATTTGAAAGAAAGGAAACCTGATAAATAATAGCGGCAATGATTAAGTCTCCAGGCTGATAATACTTGTGAACAATTGGGAGAGGACCACTGAGGTTGCAATTGCGAATGGGAGA